CTGTGAAGATTTTCTTATCTCATTATTCAAGCAGTTAAAGCAGACTTCTGAAAATCTAGATGTATTGAAAAATATTTCACTCTTTTCTGTGAGCAACATACTTCAGCACGTACCTTAATATTGTAAAGTTGGGAAATTTTTAGGGGCTACTGATAATAGTGTCGCGGAAGCAGAATATTAGTTAACCAAAATAAACTTAATTGAATGGACAAACAAAACAGAAACTGGAGCGTTTTGGAGTGAAGTTAGACAATTTAAAGATGCCTCATCAAAAAGTCCATTCTGTAAGCTCTTTGAATGTGCCATGTCTGCCATGATACTACCCTACTCAAATGCTGACGTAGAAAGAGTTTTCAGTGCTATGAATTATATCAAATCTAACCTAAGAAACAGGATGAAACTTGACCTCTTAAATGCTATCTTGACAATAAAATTCTGCCTGATGAAAGTAAGAAAATGCTGTTCAACTTATCAGCTCCCTGACTGTGTATTAAAAGAAATTGAAACAGCTAAAGCATACCAGAGTCATTTTTGGTCTGAAGCTTTAACTTCATCATTCAAGCTAAGTTTAAATCGTCACGTTCAACCAGAATCCTCAAAGGGGGAGCTTTAGGTTAAAAGTGTAACTTAGGTTATGTGTGCCATATAGAATAGGTTAGCACTGCTCGCCGCCAAGTAGCCCTGAAAATGACTCTTGCAGTGTTGAGTCGATCAAATGAGACAAACCCAAATACTGTCCCGATCGGCGACGAAGTCGTCCACCGGCCACCAATTGTCGACCCAGTCACCGATGCAAAGCCCACCCTCAACGAGGAGATAATAATAAATCCAAGGAATGCGGCTCTCCCGCCCCCACAAGTGAAGGGCTGCAACTCTGGAAATGTTAATGAGCAAGTAACGTCTGCAACAGCAACTTGGCAGCAGGTGATGTTATCAGATCACAGAAAGTTTTTGTTTTTGTTTGTTATCTTATTTATGAATGTACACATAATGTCATATACACTGCCGTATTGTGTTTCTATACTTAATATATAAAGTTTGTGAGTTTTCAGGCAGAGAGTTATTTAAAAGCTAATTATTATAACTTGCTTTTAACTTTCGCTGTATTTATAAATATATATTATATAACTATTAATTCGCCTTGTTGCGCTCCCCCCCAAAAAAGTATGAATAAATTACTATTCGTCAAAGAATCAAGTATATTTATTCAGTGGTATCGTGTCAGATGTGACTATGTTTAATGGAAAACGAGTAGCATATAGAAGACTCAGTCAGTGGTGTATAAAAACGTTTATTCTCTGAAAGTGTTCTGGGTGAAGATGGTAGACATTCGGGTTATTTTCAGCCTGGGAAAAGGTGACCTTGACAGTGAGTAGCATTCTTGATGAACTCATCCACGGCTTTCGACCCGCCTCCACACTGACTCGCTGGCTCTGTATGTCGTCGAAACTTGTTCTTAAGGAATTACGAAGTATATTGTTTTAGAAAACTTGTAGTTATTTTTGGTTTTTATACATGAAAACTAAATTTGGCGCATTTCCCAGCCACAACCTAAAAAAAAAAAAGTTTCCATAAAAGGACAAACGAAATATTTTTTTTTCGAGTTTCTCTATTTCTACCAGTGATGCAGAATAAAGATATATGTAATTGGTGTAAATTAGTTTTACTCTCTTCTGAACAAAAGGGCCCTTCAGTCTTTTTTTTTTTAATAGCTGGGCTGGCTCTATTGTGTTATTACAATTGTTAGAACAAGATCCAGGGCGAAATGTGTCCTGTTCACCACTATTGCTAGGCACTGGAACCTGAAGCTCAGCCCAGGTAGTCTCCTCTTCCCTTTAAGCGTTTAAAAAAAAGTGCTGTTGGGGGGGGGGGGGGAGTAGTAAGTAATTTTCTGTTGGGACTAAGGGCTCCATTTACTTGAAGAATATAAAAGTATGTGTTTTTACATTTCATATGATTTCAAGTATGTTTTTATATTGGTTTGCCATTCAGCACATTAATAATAATAATGATAATAATAATAATAATATGCTGAATGGCAAATAAAAAAAAATGTAAATAATATCAAATGTACAAAACAGTTCTGTAAAAGATACTTTCTATACATGGTTTAAGGTCGCATCATAGCTCTTTTAGAAAATCATTGGGAGGGAAAGCCTCAGCCCCATTCACTTTGTTGGGGGCTGGGGGGGGGGGGGGTACTAAAGAACCTGACACCCCCTCCCCCAGTTAGTTGTCTAGAAAATGTGTCAGGTTGTGTTGTGGCCAGGATGTTGGGGGGGGGGGGGGGTGGCAGCTGAGCACCCCTATGTTTAACTAATTTTTTGGGGAGGGAAGGGGTTGGTGGGCATGGAGGCTGAGCCCTGAGTTTTTTACTCATTTTTTTGGGGGGGGGGGGGTGATGGGGGGGGGGGGGCAGTGTGAAGCTGAGCCTCCAACATATGTTTGCTCTATGTCACCCCCACCCCCTGACTCAGGTATTTTTTATTTTATTTAAGGACCCTCAGCCTCCCTCCTTTCTGAAATGCTTAGCTTTTAAATTTTTGATGGCAAGGGTAAGATTGGAGTCTGAGGTCACACAATGTTTTTTCATGACAGTGTAGTTGCACTACTAATACTTGATCTACTCCCATTGCTGGCTTTTGGAATGTTTACAAAATTATTATTAGCACTTCATCCCTCGATTTGGAAAGATCTGTTAACATCTATGAACTAAGAGCTAAATAACCCGAGAAAGTATTTCCATAAATTAAGCCCGAGTCTGATCAACAGCAGACATATTCTTTCAAAAATTCAGCTCATCTGTTTATGTGATCTTCAGTGTTGTTGAGAACCTTTTCATTTCAGTTGTTTATGTCCACTTTCCTCCTACTGTCTTTATGCAGTAAATATCTGGGATTTCCTTTTCACCTCAGTTACTTCTGCTAGGTTATCTGTTATCTTTTATCTACTTTTAACTTCCTTGTTAATTGTAGAACAACTGCATCAAGAACAACCTGAGAGAAATGAAGACCCACTCACACAGCACATTTGTAAAAGCACACCAAATTTCCTTACATCCCCTGTCCCTAATAGCACTTTGCTGAGATAAAAGTGGAAGAAGAAAAGAATATCTGAGCGGATGTGGGAGAAAGTAGCTAATGACAAGATTTCATAAGTATTTACACACCCAGACAGTTGAAAAAATAACATGATGATGTACTGTGATAGGACTGAGATCTGATTTGTTTGCCTGAAGTGAAATTATGTAGATAAAACAGCTTTATACACCAAGCAAAAAGAATATGTAGACAAACTCCTGACCTTCCAGAAATTGGCTGCCCACTTAAAAGTATTCCGGAACAAACCCCATGGAGAGAAAAATGTAAACTTATGGTACAAATCCAGACAAATGTGAAAGGGATATTTGACAAGAAAGAGCAAGATAGTGTACAACACAAAATGGCCACCCTCAGTTATATTGATGAAGAATACCCACAAGAACAATGGGTCAGAGTCTATACAGATGGGTCCGCAGAAAGTGCAGTTAGAAATGGTGGTGCTGGAGTGTACATCGAATTCCAAGATGGTACTAGGGATAAGTCCAGCGTACCAACCGGGAAGTACTGCCATAACTACGATGCAGAAACCCAGGCTATCAAGATAGCTACAGAGAAACTGCTAAATACCAACCTTGGCTCACAGTATGTGGTAATGCTTACAGACGCTAAATCAGTACTTGAAGCACTCCAGTCTAGGAAACTACCAGAATTGCAAACACTGCTGACACAACTCAGCGTTCAGCGAAGAGTCGTAATGCAGTGGATACCGTCTCATTGTGGAGTGCCTGGAAATGAGAAAGCTGATCAACTGGCAGGGGAAGGTGCGACAAAAGAGCAGCCAGATGTACCAGTCACATACCACCAAAAGAAAAGAATCATTAAATCGACCAGGAAACCACCAGCCCCAGCACAAGACGACTATTTTATTATGGACAGACCAGAACAAGTCATTATCCTCCGCCTCAGAACAGGGCACAACCGATTACGTAACCACATGTACACAAAATTCAAAATAGGTGTATCAGCCATGTGCACCTGTGGAAATGTGCCCCAGACTGCAGAGCATGTACTCCAGGACTGCACCGATTTTGACACATTAAGGCAAACCTTTTGGCCAGAAAGAACAACAGTGGAACGTAAACTCTATGGACCACTGAATGAACTAACAACGACAGTGAAATTTATACAAGAGACAAAACTGCTGATATAGATAACTTTTTTCAGGCGAACGAAAGAAGAAGAAGAAGAAGAATGTAGATGAAAAACATCAGTCAAATTTGTGTAGCATTAACTTCTGTATTTAACATGTTTCATTTTTATTCTGCTCTTTATCACCAAGGGAACTTGTGCCACATCCTCCCCATCTTTTTTTCCCACCTCATTCTCTGAATATCTTCTACATGTGTTTTTTGTTTTATCTGCCTTTTTTCATTTCACCATGTGGGTTCTAGTGCAAGGATTTACTGGTTAAATTGTTATCAAGTTTTCTGTGTTTATTCTGTCCCAGAAAGTGACCGCTCCCTACTTCTTGATTTATTAGAATTTGTTTAATTTTCTGTTGCAATCGTTTGTGAGTAATTTATTGGGGGGGGGGGGGGGGGGGGGGGTTGTTAAATGTTCTCCATGTTTCAACCTCATAAAACAGTATTTATTTTATATTAGAGCTAAATATTCTGTCTGATACTAGTTCTAGTTTTCTTTGACTGCCACAAATTAACTAGTGCTATGAAAACTCACGTTGTCCATTATAAAAAAATTATATTTTTAACAAATTTTTTTTTGTGTGGTTTTAATTAGGTTGGCGAGGAGAGGTCTGTGTATGCCCAGTGAAAAAAAAGTGACTTAAGATTGCTTCCTAAAATTTAAACATAATTAAACAGTTAAAAATTATAACAAATCCATCTTTAGTGTATCCACATATTTAAAAATTTTGATCCACCAAGTGCAGCATCTCTTAACATGGCAACTGAAAGAATCAATGGTAAGCAGGGTCACTTTCATGGAAAACTTTCACAGTGGCAGAAGAGGGCTGATGACCACAAGGAGAAGCAACTCATAAATCCATTCTCTGAGTGGGACAGAGTATCACCCAGACCAGTCATCAGCAAGGATGATCCAAACTATGGCCGTCCGGTGGAGGGATCATTGACAGAACATAGGGGGAAGCAAGCACATAAGCATATTAGTAATGCCATCGTGGAGCTGTGCCAGATTATCTGTTCATTAGGTAAATATACTGTGTTGTCCTGGCCACTTTGATTACTATCATCATCACCATCATCATCATCCAGTGGTCTACAATGAATGGCAGTACTGGAACTGCAACAAAGTCTGTCCTGCATACAGCCCATATTTGCATCTCCCTTTGATAATGTTAGCTCTTTTACCGAAACCGTTCCCTTTGTTCTGTCTTTCAATAGGTTATTTTATTTGATGTGACCGAAATACTCCATCCTTATTTTTCTTGTTTGTTTCTTTCAGTAGTTCCCTTTTTCATTTTAAACTTCTACGGTTTAGCAAGCTTGCAAATGGAACAGTTAACCAGGCAGAATGTGCCCTAGTTGATAACAGGCCATTGCAACATTATGTTAAATGAAAGAGCAGACTACTTAGAAAATATTGGACACAAAACAGAATACCCGTATACTCGATACACTTCTGAGGAAAATAAAACCTATTTCAAGGCAGCCTTTAGAACCCATTGGAATACTTCCCATCGAGAACATAATCTTGAACCCAGTCAACCTCCTCATATGAAAGCAACAGATCTTAATATTTTGATTGTTTACTGGAAACAACAAACTCTGCATCCAGATGTACAGGATATTTAAGACTGGGGACTGGGAACTTTGCCCATGTGGACCAGTACTCCAGAACAGTGAACATATGCTGTAGACATGCTCTGTGTGTGCATGAGAGATCCCAGGTCAGGCCAGTTAGCATCTGGTGGAAACCAAGCTGTGTGGATCAGTAGAGGACATTCATCACACTACAGCCTGATAAAGATGCCTGTTGCCTTCTTATCTGAAAACCACTGGCAGGGAGAATGAAGAAGAAAAAGAAGATATGCTGTTCTTAAATGTCAGTTGCATGTCTTTTTACAAAATATAAGAATGTAGCCATCACATTTATTGTTTGTTGTGCAGTTTTACAGGGCAGTGTTTATGAAATTGTGTTCAAAACCCCTAGCCAAAGACACTAAGTTGTTCTGGAACTACCATAATAAAAGAAAATACTAGCCACATTCATCCATTCTTCTGAAGACCCAGATTAGAAAAGCCTCATTTTTATGCTTTATCTTGTTATTGTGGGTGCATGTTTCCATTTCATACTACAATGTTGAATACACCCAACAATACACCAACTGTGGTATCTGTTCTGGCAGAAGTCTGTGTTTCACATATCATTATATGAATTAGACAAAAGCTGAAATAGTTTTTATTTGTGCAGACAGCATGAATTTTACAATAGTCAGCAAATTCAGGTATATTTTAATATTCGCATTTTACTTCATATGATCTCTCACGCCTAGTGGACCTTATCAAACTTGTGGTGCAGTTCTACCAGTTAAGGGTTTTCTGAAATCCGATGTGTTAGGTTAATGTAGTGTTCTTTGAAATACAAATGCAGAAAAAGAGATTAATCCCTGATGCCATTCCTCACCTTTCATAGGGCATGGGGAACAGTAAGACTATATAAAGGACAAATATAATCCACACATTATAAAGAACTTGTCATGGGTGGGTTTTCTAATTTCTCAAGGTTTTATTCTGAATGTTCTACTTTATATAATGTATACATTCCTCAGAAATGAAAATGTTAAGGGTGGTTGACCTGGAATCATTTTAAATGTAGAAAACCTTGCTCTTCCTCTTCTTTTTCTTAGCGTTCACTGGCTGTAAACTCCAGCGGAAACCTCTGGTTTGTTCATCCACTACTGGAATTTGGCCTTGCTTCAGAACTTAAGTTCTGCATGTGACCTTCCTCCAGAACTTGAGTTCTGCATATGACCTTCTTCTCGAACTTGAGTTCTGCATTTGACCTTGCTCCAGAACTTGAGTTCTGCATATGACCTTGCTCCAGAACTTTAGTTCTGCATTTGACCTTGCTCAAGAACTTGAGTTCTGCATACATTTCAGTTTTGCAGATCCCAGTAATTTGTATGAAAACTGTAGGTTCCTGGCCTGTCAGGCAGATGTACTCTGTCTTCAAAGGGGACAGCCCTAATTAGTCACATAGTACAGCATGCTTCTTAGGGAACATTGGGTCTGTTCTTGTTTCCCCAAAATGGGGCTCTGGAACTCACACCGGGAAGAAAAGCTACCACTACAGATTATTTCTGATGGGATTCTTGCCATTATTATACAGTTCATTCACTGAGTTCAGAATCTCTTCTTCTTAAAGTCCATGTCATGTGGTGTTGGTAGTCATGTCTATCCACAACATTCTGTCTCATGTACTTTCAATCAGCTGTGACATAGATGATCCTCCATACACTGATGTGGAACTGTCCAGCATCTGTTTTCTCCGTCTCCCTCTGCCTTCCCTCCCTTCCAAATTTTCTACTGTCACGATGTACACCAGTTTTCTCCTTCTCATCAATGTGCAGCATAATCTCTTAGTGTAATATAATTGTGTTCTATCCAGCATCTTTACTGCACCTCTTGATTTGCTGGGGTTTGTTGAATTCTCTCCTAAAGCCTCACTTGAGAATACAGTGTGTCAGGTTTAAGTAGGGTGATTTTTCAACACAACAGATATTGCAAATGTTAACCAGTTTTTGGTTTTGTTTTCCCAGGAGACCCCAATCCTGATGGAACCCACAGCATTACCTTTGGGCGACTGTTTTTGGCTTACACGAGAATCTCCGACACTGTGGTGGGACTGTTGATCAGGGGCAGGAAATATGGCTTTGTGCAGTTTGAGGGCGAGATGCTGTACCAGCGCCAAGATGACAATGTTGTCATTACATGTCTGCAAGTTCCTGAATCTGTTTGAAGTGCCTCATCTTATATATGAATGTGTTTTTGCTAAATGTTAACTCTGTGCATGTGCCAAGTTATACAGATGTCTTTCAGCAAGCTGTATTCTAGTTTACATAAGTTGTATATTTATTATTTCCACAGTACAGTGCAATAACTAACACGGTGCAATAATAGCTTATTGTGATGTTGTATATAATACATATATTGTAGAATAGTTTCTTTTTTTTTCTATGCACTTTGTGTATTGTGGCTTTAAATTTAGAAGTTTGTTTACAATATGATCACTTTTGTGTGTGTGTGGCCATTCTTCTGTCTTGGTGCAATACCTACCCCAGTCTTCAGAAAATGTGTGATAAATTTCATTGTAATTTTGTGTCAAGCTGGAAAACTAGCTTGACAGAAATTTTAGTTCAGGTATATTTTCCCTATTTTATGTCAACGATGAAGCAGACTTCCAACGATGAAGCAGACTTGTGACAATCCCAGATGGGTTGATACTCTTTAATAAGTCTAAACTGAAAATATTTTCCTATAACATAACTACTGCCAACATGACTCTTGGATTCAAGGGACATTCTTATCTCTCAGTTGAGGGTCAAGGGAGGAACAGAGATACTGCTGACGCCTGACTTGATCATCCATCACATTGTGATTGTGAACTCAAATCTGTCCCATATTCAGTGGCAGAGTCAGGAAGATATCATTCACTTATCTTCGAACATAGGAATTCAAGAAGCATTATTTATCTTTTTTTTCCCCCATGTGTTCCCATTATTGAGTATAAGCCCACAACAGATGCACCCAGGGTAAATATTTTGCCATTTCCTACAGTTCTCTCCATTTCCTCCCTTATTATTGATCTCTTTCTCTTATTTTTATCTTCAGGTGTATTAAAGTCCCCCCCCCCCCCCCCCCCCCCCTCCCTCCACCCCTCCCCCCCCCCCCCCCCCCCTCCCTCCATTTCCAAGTCCTAGGTTCCAGAAAAGATATTTTCTCATATTACTATAATAGATTGTCTCACTGTATGTCTTATCTGGTACCATTTTCTTTTCTTCACTATAATTTGTTTAGTTCATTTCTCAAGTTCTACTTTAGCAGTCCTGTCATACTAGTTCAACTCTTCTGTTTTGCACAGGCGCTAGTAAATGAATGTGAATAGTTGATTCCTAATAGTCTGTCATTCTTCATTTTTTGGATTTTATTCTGTGTTTATACCAGACATAATTAATTTTTCACATTTCCTAGTAAAATAAAAGCTCCTCTTATCTTTTTATTTGTATTTTAAAATCTTATTACTAATAGTCTAAATCATTTTTTATGTTTCTGATGTTATTTTATTCTGTGTTTTATATTATATGTTTTTTTTAAAAACATTTTCTAGTAAAATGAAAGGTTTTCTTGTCTTTTTTTTTTTTTTTTGTATTTTAAAATCTATACCTGTTCAGCATTTCACAGGTAACCTTGAAGTCTGCCTTCACCAGGGACAATTAGGTTCACCAAGGACAATTTAGGTTATCATTTGCATGATCTATTCATATTATCTTTGCCTTCTTCCTATACATTTTTCAGCCTAATAGTTAGTCTGCCCATCAAGTGTAGTTAATTTAGTTTGCACCTGATTTTATCTAAAGGACGGGAGGGCAATGTCATCTGCAAACTCCAGGNTCATACATTAGCATCAACTTTTTTAATATAAAAACCTTTCCTTCGAAAAAATGTGCATTTATGTCTATGCTTTTAAAAAAGGTGGATTTCTTGATTGTCTGCATTTTACATCAGCCGTGCTAAACATTCAGTCCTGTCTGGGTTGAAAACAGGATGACACTTCTAAGGTCACTCCCAATTTGTCTTGGCATGACCCTTGAGTCAGATCCCCAACCTGTGTCAGAGCTAGATAAGACAATTCTGCAGAAGATGTTTAGGAGTCTGTCTGTCTGCTACACATTACAGGTGTGAGATTTGTTTATGCCTATTCTGCATAGATGTGCTCTGAGACCACAGTGTCCTGTCCAAAGCTTGAATATTGTTTGTTTCTTCCTTATGAGTTTATGTATACTGTCATTCTTTGGCCTGAGGTTTCCATTCTTCGGCCTTCTTTACCCCCCCACACACACACAAACACACACACAAACACACAACCCTCCCCATGACAAAAAAATTGGCTGTGACAACTGTACACAATTCCCTTTTTTTTTCTTTTTTTTATGTTTAAACTTATTTTTTAAAACTCTGAATGCTTTGTGTAAAAAATGGTATAAATATGTGGTCTTCCGTTATGAAATCATGTATTATATAGAGCATAATATTACAGCTATCACTGACAGCTTCAGTTCAAACTCAAATAAGCTACAATTGCTACATTTTAACCGTAAACAGACATGGCATTAGTTTGTGGGAAATTACAAAGATAATGTCAAGTGAAAGTCTACAAAATATGCTTACTGAAGACTTGAATACCATCATTCTTATGTAATGATAACTGGACTGTTAGTATGTAAAGAGAGAAAAAAACAGTGACAGGTACTGAATGGCAGTATAGTCATTCTCCAGCCCAAGGAAGAGATGTGGCAGTATAGTCATCCCCCAGCCCAGGTGAGAGACATGACAGTATAGTCATTCTCCAGCCCAGGTGAGAGACATGACAGCATAGTCATTCTCCAGCCCAATGGAGAGACATGACAGAATAGTCATTCTCCAGCCCAGGTGAGAGACATGACAGCATAGTCATTCCTAACTCAAGTGAGAGACATGACAGTATAGTCATTCTCCCCTTTCCCAAGGGACAAATGACATTATAGTGGCTTTGCCACTTAATCGACAGAAAGCACTGTTATAAGCCAGCAGGAAGTCTTATATTTTTATAAAGAATGTGAGGCATGCATGTTTTTATTAATAAACTGCAAGATATAAACTTTTGTGGATAAATTGTAAGAAATATATTTTTGTGAGGCAACTGTACGATATATACTTGTATAAGAAAATTATATTACGTATATGTTTATTAGAAAACTACAAGAGAGAGATACACATTTACATACATACTTTTCTTATGTAGTTGTAAGATATATGCTTTTATAAGTAAACTGTAAGATATTTACTTTAATGAGAAAACTCTAAAATATATATTTTTGTAAGTAAAACTGTAAATATATATATATATATATATATATATACACACACACGCTTATATTAGATCACTGTAAGATATTAATGTTTATGAGAAAATTTTAAGATTTATACTTTTATTTGTAAACTATAAGTTAAAAATTATTTTAAATAAGCTGCAAGAATCAAATAGTTATCAGATTCAAACTTTTATAAGTCAACTACAAGATTCTTATTTGTATAAAATGACTGCCTAGATAACATTATTTTTGTAGTGCTCTAATTTGTATTAACATGGCGAGATACCCACCTGTGTATAGAAATTGCAATAATTTATTTTTGTTAAAAGTGCAATATTCATATCTATTGAAGTGCAATATTCGTATCTATTGAAATGAAACATTCATATCTATTGAAGTGCAACATATCGTGATTCTGTATACATGGCATATCACATGACTGGTGTAGAAAACCAAGGTCAACATTTTAGCATGCATATCATGACTTTATCTCGTAACGATTGTACCACTCACACACACACACACACACATGCATGCATGTACACATACCTACGTGCACACACATAGAACTCCTACTTCCATATAGTCAGTTCACAAAGACAACTTGGGTTATAAATGAATTCAGCCCACAGGGAGCATAGATATAAGGCAGATTAGAAATAACAAGTTTGGAGAAGGGAGCTAGTGGGTCTAGTTGAAAAGATGGGGAGGACACAGGGGTGAGCTACATGTGATGGCAAAGGATAGGATGACTTGGTGTGGGTTGTTTGAGGACCTATGCTCCACTAGGGGATCAAGAGCAGAAGGCAGAAGAGAGATAAATGAATTGCCTTTCAAACATTACTTTTCTGCCTATGGTATCTTATGTCAGTTCATACTCCTTCATTTATCTTTTTCTTCTCCAAGTTTTCCTTAGGTCGTTTAAGTTTTAATTTTCCTATCTGTTACTTTCACCCGAGAGATGTCCTTGCCAAAGAGAAGTGTCTCTACAAAGTGAAATTTAAATACTTAAGTCACTAATTAAAAACTAAATATTCGTTATAAATTACTTAATATACCATATCATTGCTGTGTATAGAGATTACTTAGTGCTTTGATTGTGAACTTTGTTAAAATATTTTATTTATGTAGCTACTGTGCTTGCAAATGCAGTCAAGCAGAAAACAAACAAGTGGATTCTTCAGTATTCACATATTTGTAAAATATGAGAAAATATCACTATAGATTGAATTTGTAGTAGACAATCACTTCCTAATTAAACTAACAAATAGCAACATGATAGAATCATACAATATCCTTGCTTTATGTAATTACTAAACTCTTTAAATGTGAAATTTGTTAAAATTAGTTACCTTTTTTTTTTTCGTTTTTCATTTTGTGTACTGCTGAGACATAACACAGGAAATACCTCCAAAGCACGAGCTGTAGACTGCTGTAATATAGCATGTTGAAGATGTATAAACATTGAAAACCTATTTCAGCCAAATTACCATGACAGTCACGTTCAGATATTGTTTGTTGTCATTCTGGTGGAAATCAAGGAGGGCATGCGTCACACCACAACCTTTATTGATGCCTGTGGCTGTCTACTACTGGCGAGGACTATGAAAAGAAGATGATGATGATGTGGTTATAACTAAAAGTGTGTGTGTCTTTGACACTACAACTATCATAAGCTAATGGTAGCAGATTACTTTTGTGGCATTGTGACTGTTGTGTCAGCCTTAAACAAATACATAATTAACAATCAAATTCTCACCTAAATTGAATGTGTTTTAATGCTTATAAATTTACTTGCTTCCTAGTACTAAAGTTAAGTATGTAATAATAGACTCATCTAGAGCAGGGTGGGATTGTGAAAGAGAAACAAAAGCATCTACTACTAGAT